AGTTGCATAAGCAGACCTTTACTAAACTGTGAATTTGCATTGAAGAAGCCTGTATCTTGGCTGGGTGAGCCATATGTTACTGGAATTGCAGCCATGGCAGCTTCCTGAATCTCCTTTTGCCTGTTCCTATATTTATTTGAGCCGCGCTCGTCTTGTTAAATTCTTTGTCTGTTTACCAGCGCTCTTGAATTGAAAGGTTGTTGTTTTTGTAATCCAACTCTGGCTTGAAGTGATAACTATTCTATGCTTACGCTATTCCATTTCTTCTTTTCCTTCTCCTACTTACACTACTGCTGTATAAATCAAAGTTGTTGATGAATCTATTGCTACAGTTGCAGGATTGCACCCTAGCCGTTTCATTTTCTCTGTAATCTGAGAAACACAGATGACAATCATATGAAGTCTAATGCTATGATGAAAATAGATACTGTGCTTGATCTGAATGGAGAAATATATTTGAATTGAATCTAGATAATGAGGTAACAGGAAGCTTGATTTTATCAAAGGGCCCTGCTTCTTATGGTAAATATCTCTTTGCCTTCTGATTGAACAATATATTGCATTTCACAGTGAAGCTCACAGAATTATGCTTAAGGTTATTATAGTTGTCTCAAAGTCAAGAGGTTTTTGTTTCTGCGTATGCATCAAATTTTCCGTTTGAAGTTGCAGCATTCAAAATGCTTACTATGTGTGTGTTTATTTATTTGTGTAGTACCAGAGCAAGGACGCAATCCAACTTCTATCTTGACTAAGTATATCCCACCAATGTTGCAGCCAAATGGTGTCACATTGCCACTCTGCTCCAAAGCAGAGATCTAAGCCATAGTTCTTACAATGTTTGTGCGTTTTCTGTCATTCAAAATGCTTACTATGTGTGTGTTTATTTATTTGTGTAGTACGAGAGCATGGACGCAATCCAACTTCTATCTTGACTAAGTATATCCCACCAATGTTGCAGCCAAATGGTGTCACATTGCCACTCTGCTCCAAAGCAGAGATCTAAGCCATAGTTCTTACAATGTTTGTGCGTTTTCTGTCATTCAAAATGCTTACTATGTGTGTGTTTATTTATTTGTGTAGTACGAGAGCATGGACGCAATCCAACTTCTATCTTGACCAAGTATATCCCACCAATGTTGCAGCCAAATGGTGTCACATTGCCACTCTGCTCCAAAGCAGAGATCTAAGCCATAGTTCTTACAATGTTTGTGCGTTTTCTGTCATTCTATTCATGTTCTTTCTTCTGCTTTTGCTTATATACCAATTTCAAAAGAAAATCTTTACGTAATGGAATGGATTTTGAGGATTCATATACTGTCTTTAACAAGTTTGGTATAGCGGCAAGTTGTTGCTGTATTTATCTATACAATTTTCAAACTTTCATGCTTTTTTTCAATCTTGAGAGTTCCAAATTTCATAGGCAGTGAAGATTCTTCATAAAGAAAATGAAAAGTGAAAAAGATTTAGAGTTGATTTATTACCTGGCTTGACATTCCAGTCGGAAGGTCTGTGAAGGAGGATGATAAAGAAAATGGTCTTCTTATCATTTCTTAGAAGGCAACCGGCATTGCAGCAATGGCAGTGTAAACTCTGCTCTTTCATTTGATTAAATAGGCGAAAATCTGAGCCTCATCTTTAACTTGTTTTTTTTTTTTACATTTTTTTGACAAGCCTTTCTGGAGATTGATTTAGGCTAGAGATATTTGAAATAGGCTGAACACGTGTAATTAGAATGATTTGGAGCTTGATATTAACAGAGAATTGGAGTAATTGCTTCCCCTCAATTGCATTCAATTCCATGCCATACAAACAGTCCCAAACTATGCAATTACACCCAATTACAAGGTGGCTTTCCAAACGGGCTCTACGTATGAACATAGAGGGTTTAGCAGATCCTAATAGTTTAGCCCAGAAAGGAAGAATGAGACATCAGAGAGATGGGATTTTCGGTAAGGAGTGGTGCCACTCTCTGCTATGTTTATGATTTTTCCATTCATAAAACCAACAGCCCTTTGAGTAGAAAAGGAAACCAGGAAATAGCCAGTTTCTCTGCTTCTGCTGATTTGCACAAATAGCGGCTTTTTATGTCCTTGTATTTACAAGGTAGAGTAGAAATGGCACAAGATAGCCACTTTCAATGGTGCTGAGGCCGTACTGATGTTGATGGATCCTCGCAGATCACCTGAAATGGGCTGTGATGATGATTGCTTCTTACTGGGCTATCTAGTCTACTGATTTGAGTAAATCCGACCCGTATCTTGGCGGGGCGACCCGATATGCCATCATTCCACAAAATTGCATAAATATGACACTTTTTGGAGTGATCTTTAACTTTTGACCCCCGCTTGCCCCATGGGCAGAACTTCCATTTCAAAAGTTAAAAGCCTTGCCCATGGGGCAAGTGAGAGGCGACACTTATTAAACTTGAAGTTGTGCCCATGGGGCAAGCGGGGGCAAAAATTCAAGACAGTCCACTTTGAGGGCTATTTTTGTACTTCACCCTTTGCAAACCGGTGTCTGCAGCCATGGCGTTGTTGCTTTCTCTTTGCAGGTTCATATACTGCAAAATCTGAGCCCTAAAAGTCTATGGCAACCATATCTTGAATGGATGGCCGTTCTTGGGGACCGAAACCCAATTGGGTTCTTCAGCTTTTCTTGAACACCCATTTGCAGTTGTCTGTCTATTAAATTTTTAGCTCAAAGAATGAGGCAATCAGAGAAAAATGGAGACCTGTCAGGGTAGTTGGCCATCTCCAGCATGCCAATGATTTATATTTTGCTCCAAACAAACAGCCCTTCCTGTGTATGTATGCTTTTTTTTTGTGTGTGTATATATATTGTGTCTGTTTCTGTCCGTCTATCAATTTTACATGGTCTTTCTGTTAAATTCTCTCTTATAAATCAGTGTTTCACTACACAAAATGGAGGTTCAGCCTAGTATCAAGAATGAGGCCAACACAGAGAATAGGGAATTTGTGGAGGGTGGTTGCCCCTCTGTTTGGCCTATGATTTCTTCATCAACAAAACCAACAACCCTCTTCTTTTTTTTCAATTTTTCACATTGGTGACTGGTATATTTGTGAAAATCACCAAAAAAGAAGGCAAATATCTATTGCCATTGATGTGATGCTGATAGCATTAGTACTCCCTCTGTTCCAATTATGTGTCTTGGAACTGTCCAAATTTCTAGGGAAGAGTTCCCATTTTCCGCGAGGCAGTGATGATATTGATTAATCTGGGTTGTTATACGGTGCATGGAGAAGACCCGACTCGTATCTTGGCGGGGCAAACCTAGATCATTCAATTGGTTCATTTTGCAGCCATGGCGTTGTCGTCTTCTCTTTGCCCCATTTTATACAGATCTGAGCCTTAACTTCCAGTGAGTCAGTGTGGACTTTCCGACCCAGAGCTTCAGATGAAAATCCAGTTCATTTTAGCTCAAAGAATGAGGGAATCGGAGAAAAATGGGGATTGTTTTAGGGCGGTTGACCATCTACGGCATGCCTCTGATTTCTTCTGCTGCCACAACAGCTGATCTGCACAAATAGCTGATTTTATGACCCCTTGTATTTAGAACAAGGTAGAAATGACACACAAGGTAGCCACTTTAAGTTCTGCTAATAGTGGGCTATGATGATTTGCTTCTTTCTTTTTGGTCTATCCTTCACTAGCTTTGAGGAAATCTGTCCCGTATCTTGGCGGGGCGACCCGGTATGGCATCATCTGCAAACCGCTTTTGCAGCCACGGCGTGGTCGGGGTCTCTTTGCATTTTCATAAAAAAGCAAAATCTGAGCCCTAAAAGTTTTACGACAACCATTTGATGGTCTTGAATGATGGTCGATCTCTGGAACTGGAAATCCAATTGGGTTCTTCAGTTTTTTCTTGAACACCAATTATCAGCTGCAGTTCTCCATCAAAATTTTAGCTAGAAAATGAGGAAATCGGAGAAAAAATGGGGATTTCAGGGTGGTTGACCATCTCCGGCATGCCAAGGATTTCTATGTTGCTCCAAACGAATAGCCCTTTCTGAGTATGCATGCATCTATGTCTCTATTTGTTAATACCTGTTAATACTGTGCTCCTGCGTGGCTGCGTTTTCAGGCAAAGCAGCAACAAAAGCATAGAAAATGAGGGTTATTTCTTGAGTAGTGCAGACTTACGGGGTCTCTTCCGTTAAATACTCTCTTATAAAGTAGAGTGTTTTACTACACAAAAATGGAGGTTCACCCCAGTAAGAAGAATGATGCCAACAGAGAGAAAAGGGAATTCTTGGAGGGTGGTTGCCCCCTGTTTGGCCTATGATCTCTTCATCAATAAAACCAATAACTCTTCAGAAATATTTGTACATTTTTCTGACCTCTCTGAGCTTAAGCCAGACATCCTGTAATATTGGTGTTTGTTTGTCAAAAATTGCTTGAAATTGTTGAAACGCCTACAATTGAAAAGTTCCCGTCTTTCCAGAGAGGCAGTGATGATATTGCTAATCTTGGCTGATAAATCGGGGCATGAAGACAATCCGATCCGTATCTTGGCAGGGCAAATCCGTGTGGTTTGTGATTGGGGCCTTCTTTTTCACATGCAACCGGTTCTATTGCAGCCATGGCGTGTTGTTGTCTTCTCGTTGCCCCATTTTACGCAGATCTGAGTCTCAATTTCCAACTAGTACATCTGGACTTCTCGGGACTCGAACCCAAGATCTTGACTTTTCGGGATTCGAACCCAGAATCTCTCGTTTGGGTAAACCCATTTGGGTTATTCAGTTTTTCTTGAAACCTTGTTGCTGTTTCCATCAAACTTTTAGCTAAAAGAACGAGGCAATTTGGGGGGGGG